TATCTCATCTCATCTATTTTCTTATTTTTAAGAATGAACCAAACAAAAGAAAACAACCTATTACAAGAATAAGTTTCTTATAATTCATTTCCTTATTTTTTTTGCCAACCAAACAACATCAAAATAGGTTTTCTTAAAAAAATCACTCACATCATCATCTAATAAGGTGACAACTCATCTAATCTTATCTTCATTTCTTTGATTTTCTTCTTTTTTTTAGCAAACCAAACACTCCCAAAATAATTCTTTTTAGAAATAGTTTTCTATTTTTTTGATTTCCCATTTTTTTAAGGCAAACAAACAGACCCTTAACATGTCTCTAATTTCGAATTTCGAATTTTATGTTTTATAAGATTTGAAATTTTTATCAAACGAAATAGTGATTTGCATATGCAGTCCAAGTAGAGGTGCGGTTTTAAGTTGGCTGTACAAATAGGGGCTGCATAAAGTTTACCAAAAAAAAATCCAACCCATCATCATCATCACTCACAGCAGCACAGGGCACCGGGAATCCGAAGAAAACGACCTCCACATTTAAAACCCACGCACAAAACCACCGCACAAAGAGCGCGAATACGACGGAGCCATCCCATTCCCCTCTCTTCCCTTCTCCTTCTGAGGACCGAGTATTTATAAACCCCGGATCGAACAAAATCGCCATGATCACTCTCCTCCCCTTCGAACACTCTCGAACCCCAAACCCTAGCTCAACTGCGCCATGGCTTCTCTCTCTTCAGCTCCTCTCTCGCTCCGCTTCGCGAAGAGTAGCGTTCGGGGTTTGGCTCCGAGGGAATCGAAGATTCGGTTGGCGAGTTTTGGGAGGCTGAGGATTGAATTGGAGAGGGAGCGGTCGGCGAGGCGAGGGGTTAGGGTTTCAGCGTCGGCGGAGGTTTTGGAGGGGAGGAGGAAGGAGGAAGAGGAGGTGGTTGTGGAGGAGAGGCCTTTGAAGGTTGGGATTGTTTGCGGCGGTCCGTCGGCGGAGCGGGGGATTTCGTTGAACTCGGCAAGGTCGGTACTTGATCACATTCAGGTGAGTTTTGCTAGGACTAAGGATGATTTGCTTCTTTTAATTTGTATTTGAAATGATAGAGGTATCCTCATTCTCAATTTTTATTTTATTGTTGTCAGCTAATTTCTTTGGCTGGTGAATGATGTTTTATTGAGCAAGACAGGACAAAATACCACCGTGTCACATATCGGATCATAAACATAGCAATTTACATTATACAAGATGTATGCATCATTCTGTCATACGTTGTGATAGTATTTCAATAAGCATATGAACGTTTTCGATTTGCTAATCACCGCTCCATGTTGACCTTGCATGTAAATTCCCCCTGATCTTTGTCAATAGTGCTGCATATAGTAGGTACATTGTTGTTAAAAATTCTGTTATCTCCTTCTTGCCATATGAGCCAAATAATAACAACAAATAAAGCCCACCAAATCTTCCTCAGCTTGTTTTTGAACACACAAAACTCCCATACATTTATTTTTTCTATCACAGATTGGAGAGATACAAGAGTCTGCCCACATTGTCCCAAAATCTTTCACAATGAAGAAGGATATGTGCAACATCTTCCCTTCTTTTTTTAGTCTTATTTGCACTTTATAATCTCAAAGTTTCACCCTTTTTTAACTTTGATTTGATATACCAAAGTTTTATTTTGACAATCTGATATCTCAAAGTTATAAATGTTCAATTTGACAATTTGATAACCCAAACAAAGAACTTTGTTCCTTACTTTTCCAAAAAATTGGTAAGAAAAAATTTCCCCCTCTTTCACTGTTGTATGTTGATTTTCTTAACAATATTAATTTCAATTTTTTTTTGCACTTTGGGGTATTAAATTGTCAAACTAGAACTTCAGGGTATCAAAATTAGAAGAGTGAATATTTATGATATTAAAGTGCAAATAACCCCCTCCTTTAAGATAAACATCGTTTTTCAGAAAGGTTCAAAGCCTTGCATTATGAGAGGGAGGAGCTTTCCAATGAAGAGAAAGTAGCTGCTACATAGAGAGGTTTTTTTTTGGGTTGGTGGGGGTGGGGGCAGAACTCTTGTTGTAGAATACCTATATATTAGTACATGTTTACCTATCAATACGAAAATCATTTGCTCACTACACGCAGGAAGGTTTAAACTCACAAGCTTCCACAAAAGAAGGAAGTGTACAGTTAAGTTCACTTGGTAGAGCATTAGTGGTTTCTTTTTGGTCTCTAATTATGGATTTTCTCATCAAAAGGGAAATATTTTTATGTTTCATAGATTTGGTTTCAAAAACATTCTATTAACCCTTTTCGCCTGGGAAGAGACGAGTGCGAGAAGAGGGAGGTTAGGGACTTTTTCATCTATAGTCATTATCAACTCCATGTTATATTGGTTCTTGAAATGTATAATATATTTGCTAATCTCATTTTCATTCCTAGAATACACACTATAAATAAATGTGTTTTTATGCATCTGGTATTCTAAATACTGAGGATGTTAGCCTGTGAGTCCATGAATATGGAAGTTAAGTGATAAGGATCACTGTCTTGGTTGTTAAGTCAATACTCTCTAATCTCACTTCACAAATTTCACTCCATAACCAAGCAACAGGTTCCATTATCTGATGAATTTGATGGGGTTGGTATATTTTTGTTAATGAAAACAGTTACGCACTATTTTTTTTCTTTTGTCATGTATAACTAATGTTCTTGATCTGTAACAGGGGGAAGATTTGGATGTTAGCTGCTATTATATTAACTGTGATCTCAATGCATATGCTATATCACCTGCACAGGTTAGTGAGCTAAACCATTGGCCTCTCAATATTTATGGATAATTTTCTGAATCCTAATAATTTAACTCAATTTGTTATTGTGCATTTGTGTTGCGTTCACTTAGAAACCTTCTCTTGCTGGCTCACATGAATTGGTTGCTGCATATGTGCAGTTGTTTTCAGTATATATGTTGTGTTTTTTAGTATGTACAAAATGCTGGCACCTATACCTTTTAATTTAGTTTAATTAGTGTATGTACAGAATGTTCGCATGTGACACCTTTTACCTGTACTGAATCATCAACTGCTTAGTTTTCTTCCCATCTTTTTTAAGGTTTGCGAGTATTTGGTTAAGGCTATTGGCCCTAGGGGTGGTAAAAAATCGAATCGAATCGAATACTAAGGTGTTCGTGTTTGTATTTGTTTAAAATTATTGAATTCAAATGTGGGCTCTAAGATTCATATTTGGAGTTTTTCAAATTCGAACCCGAATACTTGGTATTTGATAAATGTTCATGAATACTTATCGAATATCAAAATATATTTATTCCGCTAAAGAATTTGATTTCCAAATAGTATTTGAATTCATAAATAAAAATTATTTCTTTATAATATATGATGTATATATATTTAAATCAAAATTTTCATTAGAAAACAGATTTAAGATTATTTAAGTCTTAAAATAAGTACATAAAATTTAAGTAGAAATGGTATATGGGTTAAAAATATGACATCGTATGTGTAATAATACAAATAATAAGTGATCAAATTTTAAACGAATATTTGATAGACAAACGAATCGAATATACATC